GGGCCGAGAAATGCTGAATAATATTGTACAGACCATACTGAACTACAGAGGATGTTAAAGATATATGCAAAACAAATTACTAGACTTACAAAGACTAACATTCTGGGGTTTTTTGTAAAGTTTTTCTTCTGAATAAAATCTCTGCAGAGTGTGATTTTTACATCATTTATATATTTATTAGAGAGGCTTAGAAACTAAATGTAGTGTTTTTACACAGTTCTGATAGAGAGCAACACTTAATGGATTTATCTTGGGAATTTAACTCTGAAAAATAGTCAGTTTAAAAAAGGAATATTCAGTTAGGGAGGACACAATAAGAATTTTTGGTAACATTTTAAGTTCACTTGTACCCTTGGGATCAAAATTATTTCATTCTGTTTCCTTTCACAAAATGTCCCCCATTGTTCTACTGAAAATGCAGTTGCCACTCTCCCCTGAGGATGAGGAAAGAGGGTAGTACAAGTGTTTGGCAGTGCTTCAGTTGCAGAAGTAATTGAGATATCCGATAAAGCCTTTCATTCTTGATGCATTTTTTTTGTTTTGTTTTTTGTTTTGTTTATCTGTGCAAGGTCCTTTAGAAAAAACGCCAACAGTCAAGGATCAAATACTTTAGGTAGAGGTTAGTTTTTAAATCAAACTTAACTGAGTGACAAACAATTAATTGCTTTTCTGTTTTAGAGAGGATGGCGCAAAAATAATTTAAAATGTTTTTTCAGCTTTAAAGAGCCTGTTGAAGTGGAACTTAAATAACCAAGCATAATTGTAATCAATGATTACCCTTTAGTGATTTTGGTTTAAGCCTTTTTATGTAAACATTTTCTTATTTCAGACTTTACAAACTGACTTAAGCTTGATTTACAACCAGTTTTAATTACTGCAATTCCAATTTGCGTGGAGATAAACCTTAATTCTGGTCTATGATCACTGTTCAGTGAGATAAAAGGGTGGCATCAGCCCAGTTTCTAATGCATAGTTGTCCTTTCACAAAAAAACCAAATTGCTATCACATTTGATTGACCACTTCAACAGGCAGCTCAAGGGCTGAATGAAAATCGGGTCTGAGGCTAGGGACAGATGTGCTGCTTGAAGTGCTTCACATATCTTTAAAGCACTCCCAGAAATGACCACAGCACTTCAAAAATGATCCTTGGAAAAACAGGAACATCTTTGAAGCATTTCCTGAAAGGTCTGTGTCGCAGGGCACTTCAGTGCCCTTCTCCTAGGAAAAGGTACAGGGGCCGGTTGCTGGGGCAACCGCAGTTTGGTCAGCTGACTGGAAGGTGGCGGGGCCTGGCCTATATAAACAGCCTAGGCGGAGGCCAAGCGGGCAGTTCCCCGCTAACATCCAAGGGAGAAGGAGCTCTGCTGGAGTATGCAGCTTAGAGAAGCTAGATGGCTTGAACAGCTTCGGTTTGAGGACTGGGTGGAGAAAGCCCTGGTAGAGATTTGAATGATGATTAGCCAGAGGGCTTAGAAATTGCATTTAGCCAGGAGGTTTGGGTTGAGTTAGAGCCGGTTGGCTCGTGTTATTGCATTTGTTGTTTGTTATTACACTGGAGGACTGGGTGAGGCTAATAGGGGTTGGAGGAGGCCTCATGGGGCTCCGCAGTGGTGTGGGGACTCCAGTGCCAGAGAGGGCACAGCATTAAGGGGGCACTGATCCCAGCCCTGCGAAGGGGCATAGTGGATTGGGGGTCAGGTAAGGCCGAGGCTGCCTGAGCCCACAGGAGTTGTAGATCTGCAGAGGGGATTTAGGGGCCAGGCACGGCTATGGCCACCTGAGCCCCAGACGCGGAGATAGAAGCCCCAGTGTGGGCAAGCGCAAGAGGAGCCCCAGGGAGGGCGCACAGGCGAGGAGCCCCAGGGAGGGGATTCGGGGGCCAGGCATGGCTACAGCCACCTGAGCCCTGATTGTGAGGCAGGGCCCCAGCGCAGGCGGGATCGAGGGAGAGAGCCCCGGTGTGGGCCACGAGTATAAGGCAAGCGAGGTTGCACCGTGAGGGATTGACTAGACAACATCCGGGAAATCTGCGAGGCTTGGGGCGTGGTATCAGGGGTGGTAGGAGCCACGCATAGCCCTAAGGCTGGAGTGCACTGGGGCAACTAGAGAGAGCATTGGCCAAGATACACCAGGGCACCGTGTCAAAGTAGATAGAAAAGGCAGCCTCCCCATAACACTTAAGACATCAAAGACGTGGCGCACGAGATGGTGAGGGTGCCTTGACACCGACTTGGCACGGTAGGGGGTGCTAGGGGAGTTCACGGCACCCCTAGGTCCCATCCTGTCACAGTCTGCATGCTCCAGTGGTCCTCCAGCATCACACATTGCTCTACTCTTCCCTCCTCCCCACCACAGGAAGCGGGGAGAATTGTGGCAGTCATCCAGTGAGTGCTCTTCTGTGTCGTTGGTTGTCCTCAGGAAACACTGTAGACTAGAAGATGCTCACTCAGAGAGATTGTCACAGTGGGACAGAGTTAAAGGACATGGGCAGAGCAATATGAGTGCATTCAGGATGCTGGCCATCATATAATACATTGGGGGCCAACCTTTTTTGGCTGGAATGGCACAAATTAGCCCTGTACCCTCTCTGAGCACCACGCCAATCCCCTTCCTCTGCTCAATCTCCTGCTCTGCTTTCTGCTCCCTGCCTGATCTGCTTTCTGCTCCCTGCTCTTTCTACCACTGTGCTGCCTGTTCCCTCTTTCATCTGCCATGTGCCACACACACAGGTTGTGCATGCCACTTGTGCTACAGTTTAGCCACCCTGATGTAGTACATATCCTGACAAATATGAAATCTATTTTTCTTACCTGTTGATCCAGCATATTTATGGCATTCTTCTTGAAAAAGAAGGACAAGAAATCCATTATCTGAAATTTTTATTTACAGTGAAAAATAAGGAATACATTTTATATGTACAGGTCTGGGCTGGGATGTTCAGGATGCCAATGGTGATTGTCTGTGGCATATGCCCAGAATTTCTCAGTAACTAAAGCTTCTTTGAAGTTCAGTATAAATAGGGAACACTTAATGATACAAATAAACCTAGGGCAGATGTCTCTGACAAAAATGCACAATCAGCCTGAAACAATGGCATTTAAAATGTGGGTTAGAGTGATTTCAACACCCCAGAAGGCCTCTGCCATTTTTGTGGTTTTATACATTTTCTTTATTACAAAAAGTTTTTCTCTCTTTTGTTGTATGAAAGACCCACACAAACTGAAAGAGAAAATAATGGGCCAAGCAGGAACACAATGGGTACATACAGGAGTTACATTTAGGTTGACCTAACCAGGGTCAGGTCGATCTGAATGCCCAATCACACAGCCATTCAGAAGAGTTAATTTGGGCAAAAAAATGGAATGACTGATCCAAGTTACTGCAATTCAGGAGGTGCACACACTTAGATCAAGGAAGAGTTAACCTGATCTAGGAAAGGATTAAACTAATGTTAGAATAGTGACACAGTGGAATAGACTGCCTAGGGAAGCTGTGGACTCTTCATCATTGGAGGTGTTCAAGAAGAGGTTGGACAACCACTGGTCAGGGATGATGTAGGTGTAGCTATAGTTGTGTTCTACTGTGGGTATTTCCCATGCTTCTGGGCTTTGTTGCTTACTGCATGGGGCAGGAAGGGTTGGATTAGATGACCTATGGAGGTCCCTTCCAGCCCTACTTCTTTATGATTCAATTGCTTGGATGCCTGAAGGTGTTCACAGCACAACCTCAGGGCTGGGAAAGCCCAGACATGCACCCCGACCCCACAGTTGTGCTATTGCCATCTCCCTTGACCCTGACCAAGCTATTTGCAGTCCCCTGACTCCCTACCATGACCAGACCCCATCCCCATCATGGTCCCAGCAATCCCCCCACCCCCCACAGACCTGCTAGCCTTCTTCCCTGACCTGCCAATCTGCCTGTTCATGGCAGCCCCTCTCCCCACTCCAAGTAACTTTGGGTTGTCCATGCAGCTTTTGGTAGTGGCTGATAGCTGCACATGCCATACTTGGTCTAAGCTCAGGCAGCTTAAAGTAAGCCACATAAACATAGATGGCATGTGGTGAATGTATATATTCAGTGAAAATGAATATATCCAGACTACTAAGAATAATACATAATGTGAAAAAACCCTGAAAAAATGCTTTCTACACTTCATATTGATGCTACTTGCAGAAAGAGTAAGGTTCAAATGTTTCAGAAAATGGTAGATTTTATTTTAAAGACTTCAATGTCTTTTTTTTAGAAAAATGTTATCCAAGTTAGTCAGCAATGTGCTCTAATGCTGGCTCAAATTTAGCTATATAACTGGTCTCTGAAAGCTGTCTCCAATGTGGTGAGGCAAATGCCCCCTTCTGCTTACTCTCTTATCATTGGCCATCAGTTCTTTCTCAAGGTGTGGGCCAAAATTAAAATACTGGACTGCAATTACATGTGAGGGCACAACAGTTCTGCCTTTTGCTAGATTGCAGATCTTATGAAATCTAAAATCTAACAGATCCTTACAGGACTTGGATGTATATTTGTCTCAAGTGCTTTGGACTTCACATAAAGTATATGCTTAATATGTTAATGAAAATTCACTATTTAAGACATGGGGTCTCTAATTAAAAATTAAAGCAAGCTGGTTAAAATGTTCAGCAGGAACTGAAGAAAGAAAGGTAAAAACTATTAATATGAGATGTTTCTGAATTGATGTGTCCTTATTTAATAACAACACTGAACATATCTTTTTTTCCAAAGCAGGATTTTTACTTTGACAGCCTAATGGTTTTTTTCCCCCTTCAAAGTAAATATATGCTCAGGAAAGAGTAACAAGAATGTAGATGGGAACTTAATGAATTCTAGCAAGTTAGGACCCTGAAATTATGATTTTTTTTTTTGTCTCTTTTGCCATTTGCCATTTTTAAAAAAGTAATTCAATGCTGTATTTTGCATATTTCTTGAAGTTTAGAATGTATATATTTATAGGTTCCCTTTCTCTCCTCCTTTTAATGTGTAGATTTATGAGGACTCAAAGATGAACTTGGAGCAGGAGAGGCCCTTTGTCTGCAGTGCCCCAGGCTGCTCACAGGTGAGTGAAGTCAGTGACAATATTAATTAAGACCACAGCACAAGCATGGGCTTGTATAATGCATCATCATAATCATTATCATCAGACATGTGTTAATACAGTGGTTTCCAACCCCGCCCCCTACTCCTCTTCCTCCTCCTCCTCCTCTTTCTCTTTCTCCTTTGTCCAATATGTTGTTATTGAATAATTAAAATAGGCAGGTAGTTAGAAACTAGTGGCTAACTATCCCCCCTTCACTTTATGTCCCCCAACCTGATCCATTTATTTTAAACTAGACTAAACTTTCCTCCAATTTAAAAATGATGGAGAACATAGGAAGAAGAATCCACTGGTTCAGAAGGGATACAGCTCTTCTAGTATTTCACTTCCTTTCTTACTCTTTTGTAAAAACTGCTAAGTTTTATTTCATGTAGCAGATGCTAACCTGATTTTTAATCAACATATTAATACTTAATGCTTCATATTATAAGATATCTTTCTATTATGTACCCTCCATTTTAACTGAACTGTATTGCCAAAGCTTGACCCAAAATATGCACATTGCTTCTTGCTGTGTATAGGGGTTCAATCTAGTCCATAATATTAGAAGTTCAGGCTTTTCTTTAAAAAAAATAAACCAATTGTCAGTTTACCTTCTACATTTAAATTTCAATATTCTCTATGACTGATAATCAATGACATCATTGATCCCTACAACGATGCAGAAACCTCCATCTATTGTATTGTTTATGCTAGTTTATCTCAGTCATGAGAATACACAAGGATTCACTAGAAGTGATCTTCTTTTCCAGTTTGGACACAGGCCTGCTATCTAACCTTGTTTACACGACTTAATCTCCCCAGGCATCTCTATGATTGAAGAAAATTCATGCATACCTCATTGAAAGTCTTCAGCCATTGTATCTTTAGAATCCTATGAGCTTCTCTGATGGAAGTGCAGGCTATTTTATAATTATTGAAGTTTTTAGGCTTATGACGTTTTTCATCAAGACTTGGAATAGAACTGTAGAAAAATTGAGTTCAGATGTTGGCAGGTAACTGATGGCCTGGTTGGTCTACCAGATAAATCAGTAAAAGACTTTCTATTGAATGTAATGGATTTTTGGATCAGCCCTTGAAGCAGGATTTGTAATTTTAAATCTCAACATAGCAAGGTAAACCTTTCCTAGATTCCAGAGTCCCTACCTCCACAAAACAATTGACAGAAATGCATAGTGTGGCAGCTGTAGCACAGCAGTCTAGCTAAGAGCTTTGGTAACTCCTTCATCAACCAGTTTGTACATTTGAAGAATGAGTTAGCTGATCTTATGTACCGGAAACGAGGCACATTTAGCAAAGACATAAGAGACTGGATTGAAGGAGTGGCTTTTCCCCCCAATCCCAGCAGGCATTCTTTGACCCTGCTGATTTTCACACTGAAGACAGAAGCACAGCATTCCATGAAGGAAATTTCATTTCTACATTGTGTTTCTTCTCACAACATTAGCATGGAGCGTTTTCCCACATTCCATTTATTCTCATTGTCAATTTCTAGTGCTTGTATTTCTTCCAGATGAGTAAACACTGAATCAGGATTTCACAGTTAGGAAAGGTCTTTGGGAGTTTTTTTCTTTTGAGAATTTTTCTACATTATTTACTCTGCTGTGTCTATGTAACTAGATAGAATGTTATACCCTCTATGACTATAGCTATTTTGCTATAGCCACTAGCAAAGTCACTTAATATGGGAAATACCATCTTGGAAGCACCAAGTCATTTTCATTTTACTAGCAGTTTTTTGTTTTTCTGCAAGAGATCTCCCACCTTAAAATGGTGCTCTTTACAAAATCATATGGACATATCCTAGCTTTCCTTGAGACTCTGTAAATGATCCTATTAAACAAAGAATTGCAATAATGTGTAGTGAATAGTAGTGCCTGCTCTTTTAGGGGAGTTACAACTGTAACAATTTTGTTGATATCAAAGAACACTGACACAAGTTGTTACTGTGCAACTGCACAATTTGGCATTGTAGCAAAACTGTTTTACCTTTAAATCTGCTTCAAAGTTAAGTCCTTTTAGCTCACTTGTGTCATGACAGGCAGATGCAGTTGTAACAGAGCATGTCATGCATTTCCCCAGGGAGATGCAAAGCATCCTGGGATGCCAGGGGACTGTGAGTTAACTTGAATCTTGAGGAGATCTGGGGCAGAAAAGTTCAATAAACCGATTTAACCTAAATCAGTTAAGTCTACTACATCCATCCAAGTTCATCTTAAATTGGTTTTAGCCAGGTTGAAAGTGGTTTATGTGCACTGAACTTCTATTGTGTTACAGACATGAACCAGTTTCTGATCACTTATACCAGTTTATGTGTAATTTCTGTCCCTAACCCTAGAGTAGGGTGAGTCCAAAATCCTTCTGAATCTGAGACCCCAGCCTTTCAGTCCCTGATGCTCCCAAGACCTGTGTCAGGGTGATTTCTTCCAGTTCGGCTTCTGAGAGAGGGACATAACCTTTTTCAAAAGGGAAAGGAGTGCATTCTGAAGTCCAAAACAGCAAAGCATAGGGTGGCTCTCCTCTTCAATAAACGCATTTATTTGGGGGCAAAGGCCACAGATCAAGACAACTCAACCCCTATTCAGTGGGCTAAGTAGTCTCTCTTTTTGGTTGTTTCTGTGTTATTTGGATGGTTGGTTCTTTTTTTTTTAAATTCTGTCTATTGCCAAAAGTTTATTAGAGAACTAAATGCTTTTTTCTTCTCTTCTCTATGTTTGCCTGACAGCGCTTTCCAACAGAGGATCATCTGATGATTCACAGGCACAAACATGAAATGACTTTGAAGTTTCCTTCAATAAAAACAGATAATATGTTATCAGGTAAGAAGACATGAATGTGAGAATCAAGTGAAATGTCTGTTTTTAAGATGTCAGAATTACTTGTACTGGAAAGCTTAATATCACCAAGAGTTGCATTTTAAAAGTACCCCAGTTAATAACCAAGTAGAAATGGAACAAACCAGCTTATGCATTTCTAGACAAAATGGTAGCTGCCATTTTTTGCCTCTTCCCCAGTTTGATATAAGGGAAAGAGTGATTACTGAACTTGAGCCACATATTTTATTTTGATATCAGGTTTGTAGGGTACAAAACAATTCTGGCACAGTCTCATTTATCATGAACACATAGACACTTAAGAGAATCTTACTCCAGGATCTGGCAACAAAAGCATTAATGAAACACATTTGTTATGCAGTACTTACAAGGGTCCTATTTTGACTTAAGACAAGCCCAGCTGGGCATTCATATTATGCCACATAATAGTCACTGTTTTAAAACACTTACCCACTTAGAAATGGGAAATAATGGAAAACAGAAATGTTAACATAGACTGTTGACATGATACATGTGGACCATTGAACTACAATGCAAATAGGTGTATTTTAAGCACTTAAATTTATACAAGTTATATTCATACTCCACAAATATTCTGTTAGCATGTATATACATGGGCTGAGACATTTTTCAAAAGTAAATATGATCTTGTTCTCACTCTTTCATATCACCGAGCCATGGGCAGATCTAGGATTTTGAAAAGCGGGGTGCAAATGATGTGGTATATAATCACATATAACACAACACACATTTTTCTCTGGTTAAAAGAAACTAGAACCTTTACTAATATACTAGTTGCCTAGGGCTGTATTATTCAGGTTGAGATCAAAGCAAGAACAAATATAACTTTATTGGAATGTGCATTAATTTTCTATACTATATATTATGTAGTCTCCATAATTAAATATACATGTCTTATTGATGTTCATAAAACAAAATCTAGCCTTCTTCAGCATCTTGACAGTGAATTTAACATTTCATTGACAGTTATTTCCACACTTGGTTAATTTTAATCTGAATTAAAGTTTCCACACTTTGAGTTAATGTTTTTAGCTAGAACTAGAAACAGTCTGCAGGGCTGTGAAATAAGAAGAGGAGTAACAGACAGGAAAATTGCAGAGGAAAGGGTAGTGCTGGAGTGGTGCTGTAGCTATTATGGTCTAGAAACGTGGGAGAAACAAGGATTTTTGTTGGTCTGTCCTTTATTGAACAAACTACATAGTTGGCATAGACTTAGACAAGCTTTTGAATGCAATGCATTCTGCTTCAGAACATCAAAACCATTAAAAAGGAGAGAGGGTTGTGGAGTGAAGAGAGATTAGCAGGAATCAGATACATTCTAATGATCCATGAAATCAATTTATGACCTCAGCATTTCCTGAAAAGAAATGCTGCTGCTGCCATTGCTGCTGCTGCCGGGCAGCTGGCTTTAAATTTTGGGTGGAACGGGAATCAAAGGAAGGGCATGACTGCCAATGGATCTACCCCAGGACTAAGCTTGTGTGTTTCAATACCTCTCTATCTTTAATAGAATTGTCAGCAATTGGTTGCAAACATTTTTGGGGAAGGGTGTATTTTTTTATTTGTTTATTTTTAAAATCATATCTAGGGTATTTTATACAGACCCCAGAATGCCTTTTCCTCCTTGTTGCCTTTAAAATGCAAAATGTTAAAGAACAACTGTAAAAGCACATAACACACAAAAGAACTGGACCTATAAAAGTGCACACACGCCTTCTGTGCCTGTAGATTTCTATTATGTGTGTGTACAAATGGGAAGATTCAGTTTGCAGGTTAGGGCGTCTTCTGGTAGTGAAACTGCTTCAAACCATTGTACCTGTATACAGTGGGTACACACCCAGAGCATTGTTGATGAGCTCAGTTTTGAAGGAGCTGTCTGTAAAGAAGTGCACCAAGAGTGTTTGGGGGCAGATTGAGTCTGGGAGGTGGGGCAAGAGGAACTTACAATATGCCCATTGCCTAATACACACCTCCCTTTTAGGCCAGGTATAGACATTACACTTTTACTGATATAAGTGATTGGAAACCAATCTAAACCCATAACAGAAGAGAAAGTCAGCACACAAAATTTGTCTGTACCTATAACAGAACAGAAGTTTGGCACACATAGACTGGTTTAAAAATGACAGAACCTGCTCTAAGATTTGCTCCCCCACAACCAAATGGTGAATGTGTGTTCTGTTTGCTACCAATCTAAACTACACTGCTTACAGAAAACAGCATTATTTAGATCAATTCCACCTCAGGCTTTTTGAATGTCTCTAGAGTCTTAAATGTAGCTTAAATGTAGCTTAAGAAGAGGGCTAAGGGCTGGAGAGGCAAGCAGCCCGGCCTGGGATCAAGGGCCAGAGGGCTAAGCACCAGAGACAGTGAGGGCCAGGGGTGCAGAGTGAGAGACACAGGCAACAGGGGCCATGGTCCCGAAATGAGAGACAGACACAGGGACCAGGGGCCCAGAGACACAGAGAACTGACAGGGCTGAGACTGAGGGAGCTGACCTCAAATCGGTGGGCCAGGGCTGAAGGTCAGAGACCAGAGGAAAATGAGGCTAAAGATAAGAGGGCTGAGGCTTCTACAGGGGACAGAACAGTGTACAGAGTAACATCTGTGAGGCATGGGCATGGCTGTAGGGGTGGAAGGAGGCCACAAATTTAGTTTTTAAGGCACATAGGACTGGAGGGAACAAGGGACTGAGACAAGGAGAAAGAGAGAAAACCTAGGCTTACCTGTCTCTGAGAGCAGCCTCCCTTCATCATTTTCTACCACCAAGACATGGCAGGTGAGAAAGCAGGGTGAGACCCTGGGTAGCAAAGGCAAGGGAGAGGCAGGATTGAGATGGCCACTAGGGGGGCATCATGGCAACCCTAGACACCTCTTCTGTTATAGGGATTTTTTTTTCCAACCCCCATTTTGAAAGTTTCAACACTCTGCTGTTGGATGCCAAGGAGCAGGGTTTTTTTTCATTGCTCATGTAAACCTTGGGAAAAAATTATTCTGTAAAGTTGGAGATGTTTTATTCTTGAATTTCATAATGAAAAATAGAAATTATATATGGGAGGAGGCAGGCTTTCCCTTTAGACATTTGCCTTCTTGTCTTTTTTTTTTGTTTCTTTGTCAAAATTGTTTCTGTTATCAGTACCTTCAAAACCTGCAGCGGCAATTGCTTTATAAGAAAGCTATGTGCAGTTAGACTTTTCCATTATCAGATGGGATAACCATATAAATTAACCATCTTTTAATATTGTACCCTCTTTTATTTACTTTTAGTGTTCCAGGAAGGATGAAAAGAACTAGTTAAAAATATATTGGGCAGAATCTATTAGATGTGTGAGTTTAAGGAAGCTACAAGAGTTATCAGTCCTCATGCTTCATTTGACATAAGCTGATTGGCAGTTTGGGACTAGTATGAAACTTGCATTTTTGACTGATTCAATATCAAACAAATATCATCATCTCAATGGTATTTTTACCTTTCTGTGGATTTCTGTTGTTATCAGGGCGCTGGAACTGACAAACTAAAAACCAAATAAAATATAGCTTGAAAAATCCTTTCAGGTGCACCTTTTGAGGTATGAATTCTCTTCCTTTTTCCTACTTAATGTAGTATTATTTTATAAATGAAGGATAAGTTTAAAATGAACCTTAAAACCATGGCAGTGTCTTGTGCAGAGCCTCAGTGAAGTTGATGCACTTACATTGATTTACACCAGGCAGGGCCTGGTCCATAATTTAACTTGGGTCTGTCCAACGGGCAGCCCATGAAGGGTTAAGTTGCAGGCCCTGGACTCCTGCCCAGCCACTGCTGCCCTGCATTGTTCCAGCTGCAACAGCAGCCAGAGTCTCCAGCCTTTTCTAGGGTGGTGCAGTGCTGCTGACTAGGGAAGCAGAAGGTGAGCCTGGGGCCATACAGGTGTGCACTGCAGTAGGGCAGGGTGGCAGGTAGGTGCATGGTGCAGTGGGGGAGGGGGTATGTCTGTTCACTGTGTGGCCTGGAAACTCATGGCTCACCCTGGAGCCACTTCCCACCCACTTAAAAGTTGGACAGCCCTGACTTAACTCATTATCAGAGTGTTCCACTACATTAGTTCAGTGTGTTGGCACTGATAGAATAAGGGCAGCTTTGTTCTTCCATCTGATAATTCCTGCAACAGGACACTGACCCTGAGTAGATAACACTAAATAGCAATAGATTTCCTGGACTGAACTGGTGAAGAAGGAATTGTTACCTTGATAAGTATGTCATTAAAATATAAGTGGGTGTCAGGTGGCTAACATGAATGCTATCTTGAAAGATGGCAAAACATTTTCTGGAAGGTACTGGGATAATGTCAGCCCTACTGTATGTTAAGGGAAGAGGGTAAGCGGAAAAAAAAGAGATTTTTCAGTTTTTCATTCAGTTTTATCAGTTTTTCATCAAAAAGATGGGATGTTTGAGATAATTCAGGCTCAGAAAAATACCTTTCTCTCCTGCCCCAGGACTGAGGTCCCACTATTAGAATCACAGAATATTAGGGTTGGAAGGGACCTCAGGAGGCCATCTAGTCCAATCCCCTGCTCAAGTAGGTTGTTCCTTGAGCAGGGGTTGTTCCACAAAGGGCTTTGTCATCCCAGGCCTTTAACTCCAAGGATGGAGATTCCACCACCTCTCTAGATAACCCATTCCAATGCTTCCTCCTAGGGAGAAAGTCTTTCCTAATATCCAACTTAAACCTCCCTTGCTGCAACAAGAGACCATTGCTCCTTGTTCTGTCATCTGCCACCACTGAGTACAGTCAAGCTCCATCCTCTTTGGAACCCCTCTTCAGATAATTAAAAGATACTATCAAATTTCCCCACATTCTTCTCTTCTGCAGACTAAATAAACCTAGTTCCCTCAGCCTTTCCTCATAAGTCATGGGCCCCAGCCCCTAATCATTTTTGTTGCACTCTGCTGGACCCACTTCAACTTTCCACATTGTTTCTGT